TGTTGCACTGTTAAAATCCTCAGGCACAGAGCTCACACTTTCCATGGGCAGGATTTAGCTGCCAGCTGCTCCTTTGTTTGGGAGATAGGCTTGTGTCTGAAACACCGATTTGACTGATGCACAGCCCTTTGGCCAGAGATCCCCACAGCACTGATTGCAGACAGCTGTTGCTATGGTTGTGCAAATGCATCCTCTAAGAAGCCAAGTACTGGGGAAGGGACTCATTCATTCCTGGAGGGATGCTGGATGAGGGCAGCAGCTCGGCCCCAGTGCTGGCAAGGAGCTCTGCTCCAGCATCCCTTGCAATAGGCAGGCACTGTCCATACTGCCAGTTTTCTTGAGGATGCTCCTGACAAGAGCATGGAGACAAAAGGTTCCATTTATTTCAGAGGCTGACAGCTGCTGGAGGAGGAGTGCAAGGTGTAAGAATAGGTTGCAGGATAAGGAGTGGGGACCCCCTTGCCTTCGAAGTACATGATCTGAGTACTGACCAGTGCCCCCTTGTAATGGAGTTACCAGGCTATTGCAAAGAACTGAAATCAGCAGGCTGGTGCCCAAGCCTGCTACACTGCTTCCTTCTGCCTCTTTCATTCCCACTTTCCATTGGGCATGGATGCCCATCCAGGCAGACCATGCAGAACTATGACTGCATGGCCGAACCATGGCAAACAAACCCAGTGCAGGGGCAATACACCTGGGAATTCTGCCTCTGCAGACCCAGCACACCAAACCCAGCCTTTGAACCTTCAAGTCATCAGGGTTGGCTCAAAGGGCATGTGGTACCAGCATGATCAGGCTTCCTTGGCAGCTGAGTGTAGTCCACAGCCTGCCCAGATCAGCTGTACCTACACAGCAGTATCTGTGTAGGTGGCCACAATCAGGGACTCCAGGCTGGCACTGAGGACTTCAGCAACCTGTCTTGGAAGTATTCAAGGCCAGTTTAGATGGGACTCTGAACAACCTGGTTTAGTGGAAGGTATCCCTGCCCATGGCAGGGCAGTTGGAACTGGATGGTCTTTAAGATCCCTCTGACCTAATGCATTCTGTGATTCTGTGATGATCTTGCAAACCCTTCTGACAAGTGCAGTATGAATCTGACTCACTTTGGGGCTGCTGTGATAACAAAAATCTCTTTCTGTGGGCTGCAGTTTTCCCTGTTTCAGGCTGAATTACCACATTTTGGGTTAGGAGCACTTTGATGGGACATGGTCTTCATTAGACTTGGCAAGAAAAGTCCTCCATGTGCTTTGAAACCTGTGGCCAAACCTTTGGAATCCACTTGGAGCCTATGGCATATTTGTGCTCTCTGTGATATGGCCATTTTCTAGTCCAGAGAGGGATTTACAGCTCACAGCAAAACTACTCAGCATAAGAAACCCACCACTTCATTTTTGCTATGAGCTTCTTTGAAGGAATCCAGCCCAGGAAACTATTTGACCTGTGAAAAAATCCAAAAAAAGCCACCAAATACACATTGATGTGTCTTTTCTTTGCTGAGTCCCATACAGCCATAGAGATGTGAGATGCTGGGTCCTGGACCATGACAAGTTGTTGCACCCCTGCTCAAGGGGTGCACTGCAAGAGTCCAGGACCATGATTGGGTAAAGCAATCTTATGATTGCTTTACCCAGAGCCAGACCTCACCATGGACAACCACAGAGGAACCTTCCTGAATCTGGACTCATCATAAAATGCAAGATTTAGGGTCTGCATATGGCATTCCTTCTTGTCAGGGACCCTTTGATTTTAGTTTTTGTTTGAAACAGTCTTTTCTTTCCATGACAGTGCAGCAGCTAATCTCAGCCCAGCCCAGAATTATCTGGCTGTTTTTCAGATAACAGAACTGATGCATCTGCATTTGCCCTTAACCCTGCTCTTACAGCCCTTGTCTGCCATGAAAGACCTCTGTATAAGGGCTTAAGACATTTTATAGCAATTTAGTATATACCATTAGGCTATAGCACAGGAGTCCAGACCTGCAGAAGGAGGAGATGAGGATCATGTCTGTTTGCAACCTCACACCCAAACCTGCCCATTTCTTTTGAGCAGTGAGACTGGTGGTGGTAGACTCAGTTTGGGGACCTGACATGACTTTTGGGAAGCACTAATAGACCTCTGTGGCAAATATCCTGCCACTGGTGGCACAGAAAGTGTCAGTGTCCAGACAGTGGTACAGAGTTCCTCCTCACCAAATTGCAGACCATAAATAATCAGGTCCTTGCCTAAGACTGGAATTTGTTTAGATGCAGATTTAATTGTATATTCTCTGGAACCTTCCTGTCTCTTTGGCCCCATCCACAGTAACTTTTAGACTGACAGTCCATTCTGGGACAGGAATGGGCTACTTTCCCACAGAACACCAAAAGGTTTCAAAAGGACAAAAAAACCCCACATCTTAAAATTGAGTGAAGGTCACTGAGTGCAAATTCTGCTTTGGGGGAAAAAAGGTTGAATTGTAAATGAATCAAGGAAGAAATTAATAATTATATAATTGTGAGATAAAACATGGATTTGGACCAGAACTACTCCTTCACTTTGCAGAATGTACTTTGAGCTTTGCACAGTATGATAAAAAGAGAATTAGGTACTGTACTGTTTTGCAGCAGACCTGATGACCTGGGTCCCAGGTGCAGTAAAACTGTGTTTATTTATCATATGGACCCTGGAGCTGCAGTTTATGTTCTAGGCGGTTCTTGAGAATTATAAAGTCTATGTCTGTGGCATTTGAAAAAGAAGTGTGAGCAGCAGGCTGAGGGATGGGATTCTCTCACTCTCTTCTGCTTTTGTGAGACTCCAGTTGGAGTGGGTCCAGAGGAGGCCATGGAGATGCTTCAAGGGCTGGAGCCCCTCTCTTCTGGAGACAGGCTGAGAGAGCTGGGTGTGTTCAGCCTGGAGAAGAGAAGCCTCTGGGGAGACCTTAGAGCCTCTTCCAGTGCTAAAGGGGCTCTAAGGGAGCTGGAGAGGGATTTTGGGCAAGGGCCTGGAGGGACAGGATAAGGGAGAATGGCTTCACACTGCCAGAGGGCAGGGTTAAATGAGTTATTGGGAAGAAATTCTTGGCTGTGATGGTGGTGAGACCCTGGCAGAGGTTGTCCAGAGAAACTGTGACTGCCACATCCCTGGAAGTGTCCAAGGCCAGAGTTATGGGGACTTCCATGATTCCATTAAAAGTGTGGCACCAGGTGCGAGCAGTGGTTCTTTTTGAACTGCACAATGCATTATAGGTTAGATCTGTTTCTTTGCTGAGAGCTGCAGTTTCTTTCCCTACTGCAAAAATCTTAGTGCCTACCCAGGTGCCTGCTGCAGTATCTTTACTTATAGGAAGATGCAATCCCATTTGGCTTTAAGGGGATTTAGGATCCTGTTAGATTATTGCTTTTTTTTCCCCATAGGAATTATTGGTACCATCATGACAGTTTTAAAAAAGGGCAAGAATTTTTTTTCCAATGCAAAGCTTTGTAATCAGGGTGACTTATCACCAAAAAAAAAAAAAAAAGAGCTACAAACACAATCTACTTATCTATTCTTAAGTGAAAGCAAACAGGAGGTACGTGAAGGTCTTAGATGAGAGCATATTCCACTTCTGACGGGCATTAAGAGAGAAGGTGGAAAGAGCAGGTATTAGGTGACTCCCAAAGATGGAAAGGATGTCTCAGAGCATGAGGGTATGGATGCATCTATATCACAGCAGAAGCTGAAGCTGAGCAGGGCATCTCCATCCTCATATCTTCCAGACCTGGGTGGTGGATCTGTAATGAAGATGCAAAGTAGAACAAAATATACAAAACATTATGTAATCCATGAGCTGGGGAAGGCAAAAGACTTGGATGAATCTTTGGATTTTCTTCAGCTCAGTCTTCCCATTCAAAAGGGTTCCAGAGGGACAGATGGAGAGGATGCAGCTCTTCCCAAGGTGCTCTGAAAGAGCTCTGTGTAAGGGCTTAAGGCATTTTATAGCAATTCAGTGCCACTGGGCTATAGCACAGGAGTCCAGATCTGCAGAAGGAGGAGATGAGGATCATGTCTGTTTGCAACCTCACACCCAAACCTGCCCATTTCTTCTGAGCGGTGGGACTGCTGGTGGTAGACTCAGTCTGGGGACCTGACATCTGCTTTACCAGGTGGCAGCTTAGTGGCCATCATCACTTTCCAGTATCTGCAGACAGACGGTGTTGGGCTCGGGTGGGATTTTATGTACCAAGTGATGTTTGTTTGCACAAAGACTTTTGTTCTCTTGTTTCCAAAACATAGGGTATAAGGGAGGTGAGAGATAGTGGTCAAAGCTGGGCACTAACTGGAGAAAGTCCCAACCATGGAAGTTTTAGAGAATGAAATAGAGCATTCTTATAAAATTCACGATGACACCGAGTTGAAAGAACTGAAAATCCTCTAGAGTCCAAGATTAGAGACTGAACCTGAGAAGTCTAGGAAAGGGTCCAAAATCAAGAATAAAAAACTCAGTAAAGAGTAAAATCTTATCTATGGGTATAAATCATGGACATAATTAAAATGGGGAACCATGAGCTCAAAATAAAGCTGTTGGGGACTGTACATACTGGACATCACATATTTTTTTTTTGCTTTTTACTTTTTGCTGCCATTGCAAAATATTGGATGTCATCAGGGGGTATTAACAGAAGTTTTGGGATAAAACAAGGCCATTATAATTGCAGAGATAAGCTGGACTCCAGGGAAAAGCAAGACAGCAAAGGGATAGAGAGCTGATCCATGAGAACACTGTGAATAGAATGAGATTTCATCAGTCTTTTGGGAAGAGGGGGACATGGTGGCTACAAGGGAGGTGACTGGTGTCTTTTCAGGTTCCTGGGGCAGGTAGAAAACAAACCAATTCTGCATCAGAGGTGCCTTCACACTGATAAATTCAGCAGCAAGCCCAGAGGAGGCTCTATCCCAGGACCAAAATGCCTCTCCAAGTGAACCATTCCTCTCCCAAATTCTACCAAACCCAACTATTAAGTCACTGCTGGCTTTTCTTTCAGCACAGTGCTGTACAGTTGCCTTCATCGCCCTCTTCTTCACTCGTTTTTGGCTGGTCAGTGCCCTCTATGCTGCATGGTGGTTAATAGACAGGGAGAAACCCAGGAAGGGTGGGCGGCGGATCCAATTCTTCCGGAACGGCATCATCTGGAGGTACATGAAGGACTATTTCCCCGTCACGGTAAGTGCCACCAATCCATTGGCTTTTCAGTGTTTCAAGGACCAGCTTTGTCCTTGGAGTCTAAATACAGTCTGGGGCCAGCAGTCATGGCATGGGGTGCTAGGAGTTTGGTGTTGAAGGATAATATTGCCATCTCCCAAATTACTCAAAGACACAGTAAAAAACGAGGATTACCATTTTTAAAAACTGCGTCCTTCAATCAGCTGTCTATTCTGCACCTTTTTAACCTTGTTGCACTCCAGCTGTTAGGGAAATCTCACCTTTGTTTTCCATGTCTATATTACAACATTCCTGCCCTCCAGTGTTGGTCAGAATTTACCCAGTGGGCACAGGGCCAAGTTTTAACCAAAATCTAAGATATCCTGGGTGCCTTGCAATGTCAGTATCCCATTCTGCTGAGGAAGGGGATGGATGGGCAGAGCTGGGGGTGGACTGGGCAGTCTCACAGAGCTGCTGTTCTCTTGAGAGGGACATCTGAGACATTCCCTGATTTACTTAATGAATGTGGCTGGCCATTGCCCTTACTCTGTTATCTGGTGTCCCTTTGGCATGGTATGGATGCATGCAGCAGCAGCAAGTCCTGCCTCAGAGCCATCACAAGTTGGTATAAATCTGAGCAAGGCAGCAGAAGAGTTCATGGGTTGTGCAAGGAAGCTTCAAGGGTAGATCAGGCAATGGGAATTTCTAAGGTAATTCCTTTAGGAATATATTAGATGGGATGCACCCAGCTGGTCAGAGATCACCTAGAGTCAGAAGCTGAGTGCTACAGTCCAGGATAATGAAGCTGGGAGCCCAAAAAGCCAAAGAACCTACCAGCCCAAAGGCAAAAACAACCCAGCCTGAGAGTCCATTCTGCATGGAGTAGGGGCTGGGATAAGGATTAAGGGGAGCCAGGGCAAAGTGAAGACCAAGGATTACATGCTCATCAGCTTTTGCTCAAACAGAAATAACCCTCTTCTCTGCTCTCATAAGATGACACCTGGAATACTGTGCACAGTTCTGGTGCCCCAATGTAAGAAGGTTGAATGGCACTTCTGGGGCAAGTCCAGAAGAGGCCACAAATTTGATAAGGGGACTGGAGCACCTGCCATACAGAGATGGCTGAGAAAGTTGGGGCTGTTCATCCTGGAGAAGGTTGTGTGGACACCACACAGCACCTTCCAGTATCTGAAGAGGCCCTAGAGGGAAGATGGAGAGAGATTGTTCATTAGGAGCTATAGTGATGGAACAAGGGGGGAACGGTTCAAACTGTAAGAGAGTAGATTTAGATAGGATATTGGGAAGAAGTTCTTGGCTGTGAGGGTGGTGAAGCCATGGTACAGGTTGCCCAGAAAAGCTGTGGTTGCCCCATTCCTGGAAGTGTCCAAGGCCAGGTTGGATGGGGCTTGGAGCAACCTGGTCTAGTGGAAGGTGTCCATTCCCATGGCAGGAAGTAGAATTTTAAGGTTCCTTTGATACTGAAATCAGTCAGAAAATAAACTTTCTAACACAGTTTGAAGTGTTTGAAAGCAGGCATTCTTTATCTGTGTGGGACACATTGCAAGAATGTATCCTTTAATCTAATGTGGTTGGTGAGGCTTTACAACATTATAATCACGTATATTCATTAAAGTGTGACTCTTAGCTAACACATAAACATCACATTTCCTAGAACTAATTTGCATGCATCTGCCTTCTATTGGAAATCACTATATGTTCCTGGAGTGATCTCTGGTGGTCCTATTCAGTGAATACTTCAATTTTAAACGTGACCTTTCCTTGAACTTTTTCTTTGAGTATGTGCTGTTGGTTCTTGTTACCTAACTTGCAAAAAAAACCACTGTAGCCCTCTTTATCTGTTCCTCAACTGCTAAGCTACATTTATCATCCAGTGTGCATACCTTTACATAATTTAATCTTTTTTTTGCTAGTTAGTCTTTAAGCTCTATTCAGCAACTTCAGGGGAACTGAAAATTTATATTCTCTGTTATTTATCACATTCCAACCCAAACCATACAGAAATTCAATGATTTATGTGACTGCAATAACTATATGCAAGATATATTCTGTAAATTATTTGTATTAGCCGTAAGCCACCACTTGTGAAGTGTTGGACCAATCTCTCTGCTGAAATTTAGCTGCCATCTCAGCCCAGCGACGACCTTTCTCCTCTCCCTTTCTAAAGAACATGGAGCCCCACTCCTGAATGCCTCACTGCATTCTGTCTGTCCTTTCCTGTAGCAGGAGCACTAACACCAGCAGAGGGAGCATGGTGTGGGGTCTGGCCGCAGCTCGCTGGGTGAGGGCCCAGGGGCTCCACAGAACCTTTCTCTCCACTTCTCTGGGAGAACACAGAGGAAGTTTCACAAAAGGACAGCAGAAACATTTAAAAATATATAATATAGAGAGCATTATAACCAAGAAATCACATAATACTGTTTCTCCAAAATATTTTTTCAGTCATGGAATTGTAGAATCATAAAATGTTTTGGGTTGGAAGAGACCTCAATGATCATGCAGTTCTAACCCCCCTACCATGGGCAGGGACACCTTCCACTAGACCAGCTTTCTCCAAACCCTGACCAATTTGGTCTTGACAATTTCCAGGGATGGGGCAGCCACAGCTTCTCTGGGCAACCTGTGTCAGGGCCTCACCACTCCCACAGACAAAAATTTCTGCCCAATATCCCATCTAACCCTGCTGTCCGGCAGTGGGAAGCCATTCCCCCCTGTCCTGTCCCTCCAGGCCTTTGCCCAAAATCTCTCTCCAGCTCTCTTTGAGCTCCTTTAGCAGGAGGCTAGAGCCACTGGCAGGGGCTCTAAGGTCTCACCTTTTCTTCCTCAGGCTGAACAACCCCACTTATCCGAAGTCCAAGTGCAAGGGACACAAGGAAGTGAGATCTGGGGACACAGACTGGGTTGGCATCCAGGACTCTGGGTTGTATTTGTGTGTAGATGGAGTTTGTTAAGCCCTGGAGAATTAGGCTTTCTGGGAAGATTAAGTATGACTCCTAATCCTACCAGATCCCAGCAGCAAACTTAGTATGGTCAAGTGTTTGGAGGCAGCAAGTGCTGCCTGCTCTTTTATTTTAGGAAACAGCTTTAAACACTGCTTTTAAGGGATCCCTGTGCATGTTTGCTGTCTTGAAAGCAAAGGGAGGTTGGGATGAGCATCTGCTTTCCGGGCAGTGTGAATTTGTAGTGTGCTGCAGAACATGGAGCATGCCAGTGCTGAGCCAGGCCACCACAATGTGTGCAAGGTACACCTTCTGCACACACTTGCACTTCACCACCCTTGCACAAGAACCACTTGTTGTTGGATTTATTCCCCCTTGGAACTGACTGCCTTTTAATTAATGATTTGAAAATGAGAGTCAGGCAGGACTTGAACGAGCTTGAGTGCTTTTAAAAGGGGGATAAGAAAAACTGCAGTGAGAAACCAAATCAGGGTCCAATGCATTGCCCAGGGAAGTTATTTCTGCTTAATTTCCCTGCATTTTAAACCTATTCTAGTCTGGTTTTGTTTTGTTTATTAAAATTTATTTCTTTTCCTTTTAATTTATTTATTTATTTTTGAAATATGCTCTCATTATAGTCCTTCAATTTGCCTGGAATTGTTTCAAAATCATGTAGATGTGGCACTTGGGAACATGGTTTAGCAGTGGCCTTGGCAGTGCTGGGGTAATGGTTGGACTTGATGGTCTCAGAGGGCTCTTATGACCTAAATGGATCTATGATTCTTCATTTCCAATACATGGCTGAGCTCAGCTGCATTATAATGTTGTGAAAAATACACCAAAAGGTTTTAAATTAATCTCTTTGAGCTAGAGTATGTCAGATAACCTGTGATGCTTGCTGTGTTGATGTTGCCTACAGCGTGATTTTGGATGCTGTCAACTGCTCTATCTATGCTATGTTCAAAAACAAGTCAGTAATCTGTCTGCTGCTGCCCAAACCCTATCTCCATTTTCATAATGCCTTCCTCATCATTTATCAGTGCATCTTTACGATGAAGGATACACCCAGACTAACAGTAAAAACAAATTCTGTCCCCATGCCAAGTGAATGGACATAGCTGATTTTTCTCCGCAGCCCCATCCTGTCCTGTCACCATTCTCCCTCATACAGACAAGGTGCTTTGGTAACCTCAGATGAGGAAGGTGAAATGGGGAAAGTGTAAGCATAAGCTTGACAAAATCTATCTTTACCACAGTCATCAAACAGAAGTCACCATCTTTCTCACTGACTGAAAATTGGGGCTGGATGTTTGGCTTAGACAAGACATCTCACCTTTGGATCACACAACTTGGGTTATGAGTCCATTCTAGCAAATAAAGGTCTCAGATAATTTTGGGGACTGTCGTGGTTTTTTTAGGCTTCTCAGTGAATTTCTTCCTGTTGTTATCAGGGAGACACTGGAAGGGGGAGTCTTTTTGGGTGACTAGTTAGCGATCAAGACACAAAAAGAAGTCTACTGGCATTCCAGTGGAGTTGTTGTGGGGTTGGGGAGTTTTTTGGCTGGGGGAGTGGGTTTTTCTCTTCAGAGTTTTTCAGGATTTGTGGCGTGATGTCACCACAAGTTGTGAACTAGGACTGGAGTCGTGGTGGGGGTGAGGTCTTACCTTCCTTTCCTCCTTTCCTAAGGGGATTGAGGGGAGCGGTCGCGCCGTGCTGCAGGAGTTTGTGTACTCGGCTCCAGGACTTTGCTACGCTGCAATTCGGCACTACCATCCAATCTGCCTGCTTCCCTTGCTTCTGCCAGCTGCTCCTTGGTAGTGCCGAGATCGAACGCTGCCCCTGAGTTTGCAAAAGGAGCAATTTCCTTCCTTCCCTCATGCCGCCAGCTGAGGGGATCGCTCTGCCTCGCTAGGGCTGCCAGTGGCCCCTGCCATCTGTGGTCATAACTACACCATGAGGAAAAACTCTAGTTGGAAGGTTGGAAGCTTCTGTTACAGAATCCCAGAATCACAGAATCACTAGGTTGGAAGAGACCTTCAACATCATCAAGTCCAACCCATGCACTAATACCTCAACTAAACCATGGCACCAAGTGCCACATCCAGTCTTTTTTTAAACACATCCAGGGATGGTGACTCCACCACCTCCCGAGGCAGACCATTCCAGTATTTTATTACTCTTTCCGTGAAGAACTTTTTCCTAACATCCAACCTAAATTTCCCTTGGCGCAACTTGAGACTGTGTCCTCTCATTCTGTCACTTCTATCAGTTGCTGTCTGGTGAAAGAGACCGACCCCCACCTGAGAGTGATAAGGTCACCTCTGAGTCTCCTTTTCTCCAGGCTAAACAACCTGAGCCATTCCTAACAGGGTTTGTGTTCCCAGCCCCTCACCAGCCTCGTTGCCTCCTCTGGACATGCTCCAGCATCTCAACATCCTTCCTAAACTGAGGGGGCCAGAACTGGACACAGAACTCAAGGTGTGGCCTCACCAGTGCTGAGTACAGCGGAAGAATGACCTCCCTGCTCCTGCTGGCCACACTATTCCTGATCCAGGCCAGGATGGCATTGGCCCTCTTGGCCAGCAGGGCACACTGCTGGCCCATATTCAGTCGGGTGTCAACCAGAACTCCCAGGTCCCTTTCTGCCTGGGCACTGTCCAGCCACACCATCTGCAGCCTGTAACATTGCAGGGGATTATTGTGACCAAAATGCTGGACTCAGCACTTGGACTTATTAAATTTCATCCCATTGGACTTTGACCATTCATCTAAATGTTCCAGGTCTCTCTGCAGAGCCCTCCTACCTTCCAACAGATTGACACACGCTCACAGCTTAGTGTCATCTGCAAATTTGAAGGACTCAGTACCCTCCTCCATGTCATCAATAAAAATATTGAACAGACCTGGCCCCAGCACAGCCCCCTGAGGGACACCACTGGTCACTGTCCCTCAGCTGGATGCAGCACTGTTCACCACCACTCTCTGGGCCATCCAGCCAGTTCCTATCCCAGCACAGAGTGCTCCTGCCCAAGCCGAGGGCTGACAGCTTTTCCAGGGGTGTGCTGTGGGGGACAGTGTCTAAGGCCTTGCTGAAGTCCAAATAGACACATCCACAGCCTGTTCAACATCTACCTGGTCATAAAAGGAGACCAGGTTGGTAAACATGACCTACCTCTCCTAAACCCCTGCTGGCTGGGTCTGATACCCTGGCCATCCTGTAAGTGCTGTGTGATGACACTCATTATAAACTGCTCCATTACCTTACCAGGTACTGAGGTCAGGCTGACTGGCCTATAATTATCAGGATCCTCCTTCCCACCCTTTTTGTGAATGGGTGTCACACTGGCCAGCTTCCAGTCATCTGGAACCTCCCCAGTGAGCCAGGACTGCTGGTAAATGATGGAGAGTGGCTTTGCAAGCTCATCTGCCAGCTCCTCCTCACCTGGGATGGATCCCATCTGGGCCCATAGATTTATGAACATCCAAGTGGCTCAGCAGTTCTCTGACTGCCTCCTCTTGGATAACAGGGGGACCATGCTGTCCCAGGAGGACAGTTGTCCTGGGGGCAAGTTGCTTTCCCACTAAAGACTGATGCGAAGAAGGCATTAAGCACTTCTGCCTTCTCCTCATCTGCAGTTACTAAGTTCCCTTCCTTATCCAATAAAGAACAAAGGTTGGTCTTCCCTTTTCTCTTGCTGTTAATATATTTGTAAAAACATTTTTTATTGTCCTTTACAGAAGTTGCCATTTTAAGTTCAAAGTGAGCTTTGGCCTCTCTGGTTTTTTTTCCTACATAATCTAGCAGCCCCCTTAAACATTTCCTGAGAGACCTGACCCTCCTTCCAAAGATGTCACGATGGAGGATAGTCCCACTCCTTGACACCTCAAATCCAGTTCCATTAGGCAGTTTGGCTGGACAGCAGGAGGGGGAGACTGTGCAGAGTCACATTATTAATTTTCCCAGAAGTTTGGGAACGGACCTCTGCCAGGTGGAGAGAGAAGGAGTGAGACAGTGAGAACAATCCAGAAGAGAAGATGGAGTTTCTGTGTTGAAGAGTTTCCAGAGGGAAAATGGTAGTGTAGGGTCTAGACCTATGGTTTAAGAGACTTTGCCCAAGTTTCTCCTCTGCTACAGATTTCCTTCTCAGTCTTGTACAAGCTCTGATTTCTCAGAGTTTTGGCCAAATCATCCAGATGTGAGAAGACTCTGTGATAAAATGAGGACTTTCTTTCCTAAGGCTACTGCAGGGAACAGCTCTTGCAGAAACATTACCCAGATCCACCAAATCCTGATGGACTCAACTGTTACCCTCCAGCTGCCTGGTTTAGAGCAGGGAGTCAAAAAACAAGATTCAAAGACTGGGTGACATTGGAAGAGAACTCTAGAGGTCAACATACCCAACCCACTGCTCAAGCAGGGCCATCCAGAGCCAGTTGCCCAGGATCATGTCTTATCACAGAATCACAAAATGGTTTGGGTTGGAAGGGGCTCATCCTTGTTTGAATGAGGACACCTTCCACTAGGCCAGGTTTCTCTAAACCCTATCCAACCTGGCCATGAACACTTTCAAGAATGGGGAAGCCACAGCTTCTCTGGGCAACCTGTGCCAGGGCCTCACTATTCTCATCATAAAAATTTCCTCACAGCTAATCTCATAGAATAGTCCTCATAGCTTAATTTAAAAGCATTCTCCTTCCTCCCTCGTGTTATCACTCCAAGCACTATCCTTTGTTATTTCCTTTCTGCTCCTCCCTCTTCTTTCACTGGGATGAGCACCAAGATAGATGCTGGATGTTTCCTAGGGAGTGTTTTTACAGATGTGTGGTGTCTTACGAGAGGTGAACTCTCCCATCAAGGCAATTTGACCACTCAGTGGCTGCCCTCTTGCACCAGCCTTCCCCCTTCTTGTCTGTACACACAGAGCCAGAAATGTAGCAGCTTCCAACAGGCCTGAGAAAGGTTGTTTGGAAGCTGAAGATGAATGCAGGAAACATTGATGCAAGCTGAGGTTACTCAAGAAAGAGCAAATGGTGGAAGGGGCCTTGGGCACTTAGTGATTCAGCCATCTGCCTCTCTTCCTGCCTAGAGATCTCTGCACCTGGGCAGCAGTGGGACTTTTGTTTGTCCATTCCCTTCATTAGGAGCAGGTGCTTGAATGGGCACATGTACAGTCAATAGTGCTTTCAGACAGGTGGAAAATGAGCCATGATGGAAGAAAGTAAAATACACTCTCATGGTTAACCTGCAGTTCTAGCTGCTTCTAGGAAAACACATGCACCATTAACTGCACCGAGTGCAGATGGAATCAGGGTATTTGGAGGGGTGACACCGAAATGCATAGGGCTTTGGTTGTTCTTGAGCACAAATGCCTTTGAGTTGTCTGGAAAGGCATGGTGGCTCTGTGATAACAGAATCACAGAATTGTTCAGGTTGGAAAAGCCCTCTAAGACCATTGAGTCCAACTGCTCCCCAGTCCCATCACAAACACCGCTTAATCATGTCCCCAAGTGCCACACCATATTTTTTGAACAATTTCAGGGATTGTGGTCCCACCACTTCCCCAGTCATCTTGTTTCCATGTCTGACCACCCTTTCAGTGAGGAAATGATGTGATGACTAACCTTGGAAAGGTTCATCCTTCCTTGCTACTGTGAGCATCCTCAGCATCCACAGAAATGGTGCAGAGATGTCAGCACTCAGTTTTGTCCGCTTCTGCCTGGGCTGTGCACATGCTGGCTCATTGCATGTTGGCATGTGAGGTCTTCTTGGTGCCAGAGCTGGAGGGTGGCTTTGTCACACCAGCTCCTCTCCCCTGGGCAGCCCATAACAAGTGTAATGGAGCTCAAATCCCAGTTGTCCCTTATCTCCCTTTAACCATTCCCTTTTGTTCTGTTTGGTACCCATTCTCCCACGTAGTATATCTGAAGCTTCAATATCACTTTCAGATCGTCTGAGGGTTTTAACAAGCTGCTTAGCCAGCCCTCAAGGGCAGGCCATGAGCTGCACTGTATCTGCAATCCATGCTGCCCATCCCTAAAATGCTTGACATGGGCATTCCCCGTTCCCTCCTGCTAAAGTCACAGCAGCCTTGGACAGACATCCATTGCTCTTTGATGGATCTGGGCACCCAACACAGGCACAAACAGCTGGCATCCTGCAGGCTTTCCCCAGTGGGAAGAAAAACCATCAGCTTCTCAGTTAGATGTCTGGGAATTAGATTTCAACTTACCATGTGTGAAAACATCCTAGAATCACCTGGCACATGCTTCTGGACAGGATAAACCTTTGATCCACACCAAATTGTTGGGTGGGACATGTGCTTGCACTGTGTAGTAGGTCTACCAGAGTGATTATGTACTCCCTCTACAGTTCTGATTGTGGGATAAAGTGGTACTGTGTGAAAGAAATCACCCTTTTCTCGCTTTTTTTCCCCTTATTAGAAAATGTGTTGGAGGACATTTTAAACAAAGTTGGTTCCCAACAGCACCTAGACCAGTTCTAGGCTACATAAGGAACTGTTCCATTAGAAAAGTCATTTTAGGCCAGTGGGTAGGAGGAGATGGAAATATGGGCAATGAAATACATCTCAGTTGAAAATGAGGGAATTGTTCCAGTTGACTTTTCCCAATAGAAAGACATGGTGGGTGCAAGACACTGCCCTCCAGGAATGCCTTATCTGCTCTGCATAGCCAGTGTTCCACCCTGCTGAGATTACAGCACTAACTCTGGCCCCTTTTTTCATCCCTGTGTCTAGTTGATGAAGACAGCAGAGCTGGACCCTCAGCAGAACTACCTGCTGGGATTTCATCCCCATGGAGTCCTGGCAGTTGGAGCCTTTATCAATTTCTGCACAGAGGCATCTGGCTTTTCCACACTCTTCCCAGGCATCACCCCCCACCTGATGATGCTTTCCCTGTGGTTTCGCTTCCCATTCTTCAGGGATTATTTGATGAGTGGAGGTAAGGAACATGGGCCTCTGGCAAGCAGTGGTATGTGTGGGTGCTTTTTTGAGGAACACAGAGTGAAGATGCATGGGGAAGAGGAGTCAAGGATCTGTTTTCCCCCATCTGGAGCCAACTGGATCCCATTCAGGGACACAGCTATTTGAGATGGCAACCCAAAACCTCTGAAGTTAAAAATTGCCCTCCTTGCTTTTACCTCTCTTGTTCAACTTCATAAATGGTCTCTGTGCTCAGGGCATCACTGTGCCAGGTGCTGTGTAACAGCAAAATGCAGAGCAAATTGTGAACAGAAATGCTGAGAGCTGCAGGCCAGGATGTTTCTGTATTTCTTTCCATAAAAATTATATTCAGGCTTGAAATTGTGAGGAGAAAACTCTTTTTCTGAAGCATCTGCTGCTTCCAGGGAAGCTGTATCTAGGGACAGAGGATGAAAATAGTAGCTCATGCTGCTGCAATGGAATGTGGCGGTGGAGAAGATGTAGTGAAAAGGAATTTGAAAAGGGATAGGTAAAAATTAAAGAGAGAGGTGAAAAGGGAGTTTTGAGAGAATTTTGAACACCAGCAGGATGATCTCCATCTCTCATCAGTGGGCTTGGCAATTCAGCTTCTCCAGCTGACCGTGGGCAGAATTCAATAGGCTAAACAAAGGCATCCAGTTCCATCTGATGTACCCCAAGGCATCCATTACCCTGTTTCCCACATAAACTCTTGTTCCTGCTGCCAGAGTATTTACGTGGAGAGTGAGAAATCCTAACAGTGAGATATATGAGAGACCTATGACCCAGGTGAAGGAAGGTTTAATCACTGTAATGTTGGAGTTGGGTGCATAATGCTCAGGTCAATTGAATCCATTTCACAGTGAGGTTTTAACGTGCAAATTATTTTAGCCCCTGAAACAAGGGCTTTTTTTAAAAATAGTCAAAACAACATTGCTTTGTCATTTTGGAATTAAAGATTTCTATCTTATTCAAGTAAATAACACCAAAGGACCAAATCCACCATCAAATTCCATTTTTAATTAGCACCATCCACTGAAAAGTGTGTGTGTTTTGACCTGAAGCAAACGTTTCTCTGACTTTAGAATTATTCAGAATTGGATGTGATCTCACTTGACAACAAATTGAAACAGATTTTACCTAGAGCTCAAGTGCAGTTAGTTCCCCATTTATTTTTTTTCCTAATTTTTTTCCCTCACTTCTCACTTCTGAGCCAGACAGCAAATGGATTATTGTGTACTCATCCAGCAGAGCTGTAGGCAAATCTAGTACCTTTAAAGGGAATTGGGCTGGGGTTTTCAAGTCTGAATATGAAGTGTTCAGCATCTCTCCAGAGATGGGTTATGGGGAAAAAAGGTCCAGAGCAGACCACAGACAGGTGGGTTTTACTTTTAATTCCTCTCTGCTCTCCAGGCCTCATCCCCTCTGACAAGGAGAGTGCATCATACGTGCTGCAGAAGCCAGAGGGTGGGAACTTGCTGGCCATCATTGTTGGTGGGGCACAGGAGGCACTGGATGCCCATCCAGGATCCTTCACCTTGCTGCTGAAGAACAGGAAGGGATTTGTACGCCTGGCCATCCAGCGTGGGTAATGCAGGGTGTGGAGTCCAGGGGTGCTGAGGGAGACCTGCTCTGCTCTGTGGCTGGTTAATGCGTTGTTTTGGAGAAGAACAAAGGGGTTTTGGAGTGGGCTTTGCTAATCATGACACCCTATTGGTTTTGACTCCCTGCAGCACACCCCTGGTCCCTGCCTTTTCCTTTGGGGAGAACAACGTCTTTGATCAGGTGAAGAATCCTAAGGGCTCCTGGCTGAGGAGGATTCAGTACTCTCTCCAGCAGATCATGGGCATCTCCCTTCCCCTCTTCCATGCACGAGGCATCTTCCAGTACAGCTTTGGGCTGATACCCTACCGACGGCCCATCTGCACCGTGGGTGAGTCAATCCACAGAACTCTGACATGATGCCAGACACGCTTAGGCTGGCCAAACTGGGAAAACAGGGACAGTCCCTGGGCTGTGTCATCCTCTGGCTAGGCTGAAGCATCATGCCAGAGAGCACAAACAGTGGTGGGCTAGAAAGGTGCTGCAAAGCAGTGTTCCAAATTGTTCATGTGTCACACTGGTTTGGTAATCTGGTTTGATCTCATGACAGATCCCAGGCCTTCTGGGCTGTGTTGGGAAAAGCCCCAGAGCAAATGTGGCCAACCTCATCACTCCTGTGAGATGCAGATTACCCCAACACCACAAAAAAACAGGTGACAAAAAACACTGCAGTCGAGTTGTGTTAAACATCTTCCAAGGAAGTTTTACAAACAAAAGTAGGACCAGCAGGTCTAGGGAGAGTGTTCTGCCCCTATTCTGACAACCAAGGGCTTGGAGCATCTGGGTGACAGGCTGGGAGAGCTGGGTATGCTCTGCCTGGAGAAGAGAAGGCTCCAGGGAGCCCTTAGAGCCCCTGCCACTGCCTAAGTGGCCTCCAATAAAGGGGTAATTTGAAGGGCATATTTGAAGGGAATTTGAAGGGGGATTTTGGACAAGGGCATGGAGTAACAGGATAGCAGGGTTAGATGGATATTGGGAAGAAATTCTTGGCTGTGAGGCCCTGGCACAGGTTGCCAAGAGAAGCTGTGGCTGCCTCTCTTCTCTGAAAGTGTTCAAGGGCAGCTGGGATGGGGCTTAGAGCAACCTGGTCTAGTGAAGGGTGTCCCTATTCATGGCAGGGGGTTGGAATGAGATGATCTTTAAGGTCACTCCCAAGACAAATCATTCTGTGATTCTCTGAACATTCAAGCAGTTTGTAAGTTTGCTCACTGTCCTGTGCAGTCATATCTGAAAATCCAAACCTATTTGCATGTGAGGAAGATGAACCATATTGACCATGTCCATGGGAGACCAAATTTCAAGAAAATCTTTGTTTTTGAATAAGTTTTTCAACATCTCCATGCTTGGCCCACCAGTGTGGCTGATGCTCTGTGAATTAATGTAATTAAAAATGCTATTTGGAATGGCACCACTGATTAAGTTTGACAACCAGCAATTACTTCTAATTGTATTACAGCCTGTTTGTATTGTCTCAATGGTTTTATGTGCTGTGTGGTATCACATTGGCTCATCATTAATTGGATGAAGAACAGCCTTATAAGATGTTGAAATCCTCCATCACTTGACAAAAACAATTTGAGTAAGAGACCGGAGCAAGAGAGGTACCTCATGGATTTTGTCTGTCCCCTGCCAGGTATCTGGTCCTGCTCCTGGTAGCTCTAGGAGATGGAAAGGCTCTTCTAGAGATAGGAATCAAAATAACTAGATTTTCTGTTGAATAAAACATGATTTTTAAAAGATAAGTAAGTACTTGGTTCCTAATAAAAATCAGATATTTCACAGAATCTTTAATCTGAGCAAAGTAGAAGCACCTTTACTGCAAGTGTTTTTCAATAGTGTGGGGCTCCCCTGTTCCTCACATTCTTCATTTGCAATGCAGATTCCCAGGGTCATGTGGAAACAACTTGGAAAGCCCAAACCAAGTATTATCCTGTCTTCATATTGTGTTTATCTGCAGCACATCTGAGATGTGAGAAGCACTCTTGGGACTGCACTGGGATACAGCACTTCCTACTTCAAAAGGCTACACAGAGGGTCTTTAACCAACTTTGCAGATGGGTAAACTGAGGCAAGGACCAATGTGATCCTGGAGACCAAGAGCTTGGTCAGGATCTGAGCCACCATCCCTCCTTGGTTGTGCTATCTCCCAGGCTCCAGGAAACAACTGGTGATACTGATGTGTCCACCCTGGAGAGGCTGACCTCAGCTCTGTGCTAGCATGAGCAAGGTGTTCAGAGGTACCTGACATTGGCTCCTCCTAACACCTGTGCTTCTTTTCCAGTTGGGAAGCCAATTCCAGTGCAGAAGAGACACAAACCCTCGGAGGAAGAAGTTGATCAAGTCCATCAAAAATATCTAAATGAATTGTCCAGCCTCTTTGAGAAGCACAAAGCTAAATATAATATCCCAGAAGAAAGCCACCTGGAATTTATATAGAGTGCCTCAAGCAAGGTGAAACCATGGAGATCAAGCTCCAAGTTTCTCCCTTCTCTGGAACTACTTCACAGCCTCAATATAGTCACAGTTAACATGTAGTCTATATAGTGTAGGGAAAAGAGCTTGATTTGCCCAGTGTTTGCATGGGTGTAGAGCCATGTTTTTATTTTTTTCTCCATGTAGAACACATAAAAGATATAAAAGAGAAGCAAAAAAAAATCCCATCTGTGGTCAGCACAACTGAAACTCCCCAGCACAAAACTAACACTTCTAGTCTGGCATGGATGCCAGTTTATACAGATATTTCCAGGCAGATCTGAATTACTGAAATTATTTCCTTTTCATTATTTTCATTTTGAAATGGGACAATGAGCCATAACTTGCGTTGAAGGCACATGTTTTTAAAAATATAATTCATCTAGATCAACAAATGAACATTGTTTGTTTGGTGCTCTTCATGCTTTTATTTACTCTAGGGTCTTTTCTCACCACCTCAAGTACAGTTTATCAGAAGGGTCATATGCCTAGCACAATGCCAAGCACCCTCAGCAGCACTATGCCATAACCCACTGGTGCAAAAGAAATTAAAATCTTTCTAATTATTATAAAGAAATCAGGAGCCACTCTGGCAGTCACACTCACACCACCTGAGCTGGAACTGAGGCCCCTTAGCAGCTCCACACCCCACACTCACTCAGACTGGCTCAGTTCCTTACTGGCTCAACCCCTGGTTTCCTATAGCACAGTCTCAGACATCTGGATACTTCAAATAATTTAATCATGCAAGAACAAAATAACAGCTTGGGGTGGGAGCCTCCAGAAGTGATAAGGAATCTCCAAAAAAAAAGAAACCCTCGGCTTACGTGCCCTTATTATCTGAGTGTGGGGGAAAGTCTGGGCTCTTCTCGCTGAGTCCTGGGCTCCTGCTGTGTTGGTACATCCATGTCCCTGGCTGTGCCAAAGGTCCCTGGGCCCTTTTGTTTTGCAAAGGATTGGCAGCTGCCTCTTGCCTCCAGCTCTTGCCACCACAGCCCCATCTACACCTGGCACTGCAGCTATCCCTCAGCTGCCTGCTCTGAATACATTGTTTCATAATTAATTTAGAAATACAAATCAGAAATAAATTTATAATGTCTAGGGACTTATCCAAAGGGTTCACTATACTGGGGCTCTGGGAGTCCTGCTTCCAGTTTGATTGGTTTATCCCAGACACCCCTGCATAGGAATGCCCAATTATCAGCTATGGTAGCAGGTCACTGTGCATTTTGTTTTAGAAATGAGACCATTTCCTTAGGAAAGAGGAGCATGACCAGGACATGGGGGAAGGGAAAAGTGATTTGGGCCAGAAATATCTATTGGGGTTTGGGGGAGCCACATTTGGCAGGTGATTGAGGCTTTAAATAGCTGTTTCTTTTTGATATCCAGCACTTCATTAAACTTTGCCTTTAATGGGATTTTGCAGTGTGGAAGTTTCAAGTGGCAGGAATCTAGCTGGGAAGTTCACTCTTACAGAGCCCTGATACTTTTATCTTTTTCTTCTTTCTCCCTCCCTTCATTTCTTTCTCTTCTTTACATCCTACTCCCCACTTGCAAGGAGCTACCAAAAATCCTGCAGATCACAGGCACTTAATTTTTGTTCCTGAAACTGCAAGAAGTGCATTTAAGGAGAAAAATTTGTTAAAAAATTGAAAACTGTCTTGGCTGACAATACCAGGCCATCATTGAGGTTTGTTTCCTTTTCCTGCCTCCTGTCTTGACCAAGGCTGTAAAGATTTCACCACATTCTTAATCTGAAAATTAACCCCTGCAAATGCCTCCCATTCCCAGCAAAAAAGCAGCAGCAAGGAAGAATTTAATGGAGACCTGCTCAATATTATAAACACTCCTATAATCCCACACTTAATCCAATCCCATAAAACAGGTCACATGCTCTGATTTCTTGCTTGCTTTCTATTTTTCTTTTCCTTTGTTCTTAGTTAAGGACAGAGGTGCCCAAGGAGGAAGAAGATTTTCTGCACCAGAAACAAACAAACAAAAAAATATACATCTCCCACCCCTTTCTCTCGGAGTTCATTACCATCCAAGCTTTACCCTGGCTCCAGGTTATTTTCTCTATCCTTTCTTCTGCCATTCCTTTTACTTGGCCATCCACTCACAGACCTCAAGGATGTTGCCATGACCCTCTGGAAACATCCCAGTGGGGATCAGTGCCAGAGGGAAGTAAGTGATGGGGATGTCCCCAGCATCACAGGATGTTGTGGGGATGGGGGAGGTCTCCAGAGGTGAGGATGAGGAGCTGAGATCTTGATGCAAGGGGATAAAGAGTGAAGGTGCTGCTGTTGGGGTGAAAATCAGCAGTGAGGGGAGGAAGGGGATTTGTGGAGATGTGGCGATATTTTGGGGGTGTAGGAAATGGAGAGGGGCAGGATGCAAAGTCACAGCCAAGGATGGCAGACATTGGTACTGACAAGAGGGGTTTGGTAAGTAGGAGAGACTTCTACCTCAGTGAGGAGCCACATTAGAAGGTGTGTTTGCAATTGTCCACAGAGGCCTCAGTCTTATCCTTTTGGGGCTGTCACAGTGATGCCCCTGGTGTGGGAGACACGCCTGCTTGAGAGGTGGGCTGACCCCTCACCTTCCTGGCTTGTGTTACCATTCTGAGAGAGAAAAGGCAGAAAATGGGTGGTCAGGAAAAAACCTCAGGGAGGCAAGGGAAGGAGGATGCTGGAGCTGTCTGAAAGCTGTTGGGGTGGTCAGAGACATCCAAAGGTGAAGAAAGACCACAATGCTGGAGAGGAGGAGTCAGAGGAGAGTGTTGGCTGTACGTAACTGGCTTCCTTTCAAGGTCAGTTTTATCTCACAGGCTGGAAAATACCCTTGATCCCTTGGGGACCTATATAACCCAGGAGGGAGAGGTAAGTGCCTGGGTTTGTGTTAAATACAACATTAAGAACAATAATTCATAGGCATCCTTGCTGCCTCAGGAGCTCAGGGAGCTCAGCACAATGAGAGGTCCCATCTCAAGAGGCCAGAGCTTCTCTCTGAGCTGTCTCTGAGTGAAACACTGTAAGACAAGAAGCTTTTGTGCTATTTCAGCCTCACACAGCTGTCTGGAGGATTAAAGCTCTGATGCTACACAAGGCAGGGGAAGCCTAAAGGAAAGAAAAATGCTCAGATCAACCAAATCAAGCAATGTTTAGGTTTGACTCTTCAGCTTGAAACTGGCTCAATTGGAGGCACCCTCAACTGAGGGAACTCCAAGCTGTCACCTCAAAATAAGGACCCCTCAAAGCTAAAACAAAACTGTATATTTCCTTCCAGCATGTCCACTCCCTATTTACTCAGCTGGTTGAGAGGCTCTAATCTGGATTTGCTTTACTTAGGTTCAGATCATGAGGCTCAGAAGAAAACCTCTGATGACTGATGAATACAAAATATGGACTAATTCTCCAAGAGGAGGAAAGCCAAGCAAAAAGATGCTTTTTTGCCCTTTTGCAGCTCTAGAGCTGCAAAGTTGTTTTACTGCCCTGAGAATGGGATTAAAAGACTGCCTGCTGTTGCAAACAAAATTAAAAGGTTTTCTGCTGAAAAACATTATTTTCTACTCAGGGAAAGATTTGCTGCCTTTAGTTCAATAAAGTCCCAAAATGTAGTATGCTAAACATCTCTCTCTTATGGCATACCTTTCAAGAAAGGAAATAAAACTGCAAGTCCATCTGAAACCCATCACTTTGCATTAGAAAAATAAGCAAAGGAAGAAACACAAAACCAAATCCAAATCAAGAAATGACATGTTTTTGTTTCCTTTTTAATTTAAACATTTTGAACAATAACATTTAAAACATTTAGAAAGCATGGGTCTCCTCATAAATAATGACACATATTTTGGGATAATCTGTTAGTTCTGTCTGACTTGTACCCAGTGAACTCTTTTCTGCATCTCCCATTATGTGAACTCACCTCTTGACACAACCTTTCTTGGAGGAAACATCTGATACAGGATTTTGGCAAACCACCTTGTTCAGGTTATAAAAACCCATCAGTGAAGGAATAATCTACAATGACCAACAAGGCAGGAGGGTATATATTGGATTTAAGGAATTATTTGGTATGATTCATCCATTTTTCAAGCTTGTGCTTGGCTTTACTAATACCCATGTCCTAACCCCAGCCTCCTTGGAGATGCTAAACCATTAACTTTGGGCTGGCAACCTACTGAGCCACCACATCTCTGGGACACAGGGGATTTGTGTGCTTCAGGCAACAGGTGACCTTCAAAACAGAATGCATTTATCAGGAGGGAAAGCACCTGTAAAATCAGGTAGTTGTGAGCCAGCATTTTGGGTGTCAGGATACCAAATAATTCCTGTGAGCTAAAGGGATTAATATTTTATTAGATTATAAGAAGCCAACAAAATACAGACCAAACATGATTTAAATGAGCGATTCAAGACACAGAAAATACATGCAGAAAACAGTACAGGAAGGATTTGAAATCACTTGGGTTCTTGAAAAGCTTGCAGAAAACCATGAATGCACAGAATATCATGCATTGTGCATGCACAGAAGAAAAATAATGCAAAGGAAAAAAAGTTCATGCTTAATTCTTGGTAAAAAAAGTTTTCTGATCCCCTAGAATTGAAAGGGAACAAGTGCTAGCAAGCAGTGCTTTTATCTTCACTACTGCCAGCAAGAACAGAACTTGGTTGCTTCATGGACAAGGGTGCATGTGGATGCTGAGGAGCTCACCTCCACATCAGAGTACTTTGAACTGGGAGAGCAGTGTTGCATCGTCAAGAGCATGTAAACAGGGCTGTGAGGTCAGGATTTTCGGAATTATTTACAAAGTGCTTAGCTTCTACCTTCTGAGAGGGAGATCCTCTAAGCTGCCATGTGGCAGGATCTCCTAGGAAAGCTAAGCACCTCATTTTCCTCATCAGCACCCCAGAATCTAGAGATGCTCGTTCGCTAGAATCAGTGTGTCTGTCAGAGGAGGGAAT